GTGGAACATTTTTCTTTTTATAAAGATTATTGTACCATGATTTGTTTGGCACAGTCTGTCCTCAGACAAGTGTGAAATATAATATAATATAATAGAACATCCTCTTTACGTTTGACAGTGATCAGTAAAGTTCCCTTCGTTGTGTTACGCTGTACAACGATGATCGCGACATCCTCTATGCCAGAGTTGAAAATAAGGGGGACTGGACAGTTCTGTCTCACTTCCCTAGTGGCAAGTGCTGATCATAGACCCTAACCCCACCTGAGGTATAACGATACAATTCTTTGAGGGTTGACACACTTCTCAGGTATTACCTTTCTAAACAGAATTCCATAGTGCGGTCATGTCAACAGAGTCTAAGGTTGCACGAATGTCTAGAAAGCATCACGATGCTCTAGCAACGGTCGGACGGTGAAGATTTGATCGATGCATTCATGACCGGTGCGAAACCCAGACTGTTCCTTGCAGGTCTGTTGTTCATGAGCATACAAGAAATAAAAGACAAAAATGCCTGCAGTGTAAAACAGTGACGATAATGCACAACTTTGCTATTTCGTGTCTGTGGTGGTGGCGCAGTGGTTTAGTCACTGTCACAGACGTGCTTTGGACCCTATGGTCCGAGGTTCGAGCCCCGCCACCGCCATCCGACTTCGGTGGTAGGCAGCTTTGTTGTCGTCCGGTTCAATACCACACCTGACCTATCGGGGTCTTAAGTGGTTCGCCACTCCAAGTTCTGGGGCTTAGGTTGCCGGTTTCCATCACTGAACAGCAGGTCCTCGTGACTATGGGGTTCGCCCTGTATGCTGATCATCACATGGAAGTGTAATAAAAAATCATCGGCTTTCGATAAGGTCTATTGGCACCATGCGATATGTATATGTACACCATTATTTAAGATTACTTGCTTCATCAGCAAAAACTTTTGCGTTGATAATCACAGTTACCTGCTTTACTCTGCGGTATTGCAGTGCAGAGGTAGTCAATCCAATATCTTCAGTACTTGTTGAAGTCTTGTGCTCTCTATGTGTCATGTATCATTTGTTAGATGTGATGAACAGAATAGTTTCGTGCATTGCCGCGTGGAGTCATTAAGGGAGTTTTTACTTGTGATCTGGCTTCACTCCGAAATTCATCAAAGACTGACTTGTTTATGCGAATCTCC